GAACGGACGGGGAGGATCCAAAAATGACTGAGGAGGCAGCAGGGTAAGATGGGCCATAGGTGTTGCAGAGCAGGCTCTGGCAGGTGCGCTGGGAATGGCCATGGGGAGCGGCTTTCCCAGAGCAAAAACAGCCCGGCTGTCATGGGGAGGAAGGTGCATTAAGAAGTATTAAGCATTAAGAAGCAGGGTGTGTGCTAACAGCACGGGATTGGCAACTGGGAGAGGCGAGCTGCGAGGGCAGGTGGAGAATTCTCCCGCTGGAAGGGCTGCTGCAGGGCCCACAGCCACCAAGGCAAAGAGCCAAGCCGCCTTACCGGGAAGCCAGAGCGAGTACGGACAAGGAGGGAAAGCAAGGTCAGGAGGAGAGAGAAGCAAGAGCAGGAAAAGAACAAAACAGAACAGGGCACCTGAAGCAGGAGCCAGCCCTTCATTACTTTCTCATAGTTACACCACAGCGGAGGCCAGGAGTACCCGTCGGTGTCGGGTCACATCCTACTTCGTGTTGTGTACACTGAGAGGGATACGGCCAAAACGCCAAAGCGTTTTCAACAGCCTCGCTCAGTGTCCCCCTAAAAGCTACCCTCCCTTATGACAAATCTAAAAGGCACGTGATCCAGCTCAAACATCGCCACACTACTTTCTTCAGCCTTCCATTTTACATGAAAATGACCGTAATCTAAAAGGCACGTGATCCAGCTCAAACATCGCTACACTACTTTCTTCAGCCTTCCATTTTACATGATTTACGTGTTCTCCAAAGAGCAGTTTACTTCTCCTAGAAAATTATGGCAGAACCACCTGAACTTCCACAAGTAGTCCAGCACATACCTCCAACATCTTCCCATAGCAAGCAAACTAAAAATGGTAACAGTATTTCATGTTACAGACATTTCATGTTGGCAACCGGATTTTTAACAGTGAAGTTCTCACTGTATCAGTAAAACTTCTGTGTATATGCATCACGTACATTTAAGGGCTAAGGAAGAGACAATGGTCTGCCTAATTTTCTGCTGAAATGCAGGTAGAAGCTCTTAGTTTTGTGAGTGAAGTTATCATGTAGGGTTAAATTGTAATGCTGGTGCGGTTTTTACAGATTTAGTTTTAGGGGCAATAATACGCTTTGAAAGATATTTCAAAGTGTTTTAAACAAACACAATTGCAAACACGAAAAACTAACAGAACCTGCCACAACAGCAAACACAGAATTTCACCAAGAACTACTGTGTATTAGTCTCATAACCTTTATTTCAGCCGGAGCAGATGCAGGCAGACGCACTTACAAGCCAAGAAGTCCTTTCACGGCCACGCCTCGTGCGGTAGCACCTTTTGGCAAAGGAGAGCATGTTCCGGGAGTCAAGCAACCATTTCATCAACATTTTTTCCTGTTGATTTCAGTGGGAAACAGAGCAAACACACTTTCTCCTGTTGAGACACCCAGAGATGTGGGATCCAGTGGAGCAATTTGTAAACAACTGTTTGCTACTACTAGTGAAAAGGATTTGGATGATCCTGCAGTGAATTCTCTTTTGGGAATTCCCTCTAGATAAGGCAGTCAAGCCAATCAGTTTCCCTGCAGACACTGCAGGGATCTTATAAAATCCGTCCAAAAGGCAGGCAAGTACTCAGGTTACAAACAGAAAGGGAAGATGGGAGAGGCAGATTTCCCTCTGTCAAGCAGCAGAGTTCCTCAGGCGTGACAATTGTGGAAGCTTTAGGAGCAAGGAGAGAGGGATCCCACCACTGACAGTGCAGGGGGGCATAGGAGGAGAGTGCAATCCCACCAGAGGTGGACAGGGCACCAGTGTGAAGCTGAATAACAGAAACTCCAGCTGCAAAATCTATCAGTGGAACGGCTGGAATTAAAGCAATGCCAAGAAAAAGTGTCTACCTGAGAATAAAATTACCACTCTTCCATCAATACACAAGACTTTGACCTAATTCAGAATTGGTTTAAACTATATTTTACTCTGTGCTCATGTTTTGCAATTGTTACGTCCTCATTCTTGCTTCAGGCTGAAGAAACTCCTCTTTTGCTATTCTTGCAGCATTTTTTTTCCACTTTCAGACATAACTAAACATTCTGGGAGGCTTCCAGGCAAGTAAGAGGAGGACATACCCTGCTGTCAGACCCCTTCTGTCAATTGGGATCAGCTGACAAGGGGAAGAAGAATTAAGCAGAGAGAAAGAATACTGGTCCGTGCTGCCATTGAAAAAGGGCAAGACAGGAAGACGTACCGTAAAAGAAAAAAAGAAAAAAAAGTCCAAAAGCGCTCTGAGCGAACGAGGCTGGACTGCCTAGGAGGAGGAGGGGAGATCTCTTGGTGTGAAGCTGAATAAATGGGAGAAATGGAACTGAACCGTAAGGCAGCATCAACGCTACTTCTGGAACAGAAGAGCGCTCTGGCACGGGCAGCACTCGCCCGCTGCAGCCTGCCCCAGGATCCTGCTTCTCAGCTGCTGACACACACAGCCACCCCTTCTGCTTTTATTAGAAGTTTCTGACAGGAAAACGAATCCGCCTAAAACTCTGCATCGAGGACAGCGTATGGAACAGCTCTCGCCCTCGCGGAGCGCCGCAGCCTGCAGTGTAACGCAATGAGC